CTACACAAACCGACCATATCATACCTCTATCTTCAAACCATCCAATGTCACACAAATATGCAGCCTTCCATAGTCACATTCATCGCCTGTTAACAATCCCATTATCACTATCCAACTACCATGCAGAACTCAACATTCTTAAGCAAATAGCATTCAACAATGGGTATGAACCCAATCTCATTAATAAACTTATACATAAGAAACAACTCAAATCATTGAGAGCGACTGCGTTCCCCAGAGACTTGATCATCAAACCTCACTATGCTTCTTTACATACCTTCAAGAACGTCTCTCTGGAAAAAGATCTGTTGAGAATCACCACATTTCCAATAACCAATACAAAAGATCCTATCAACTACATGGATAGTAGTCGTGTTTATAAATTACAGTATTCTGATTGTGATGCTACATATATAAGTAGAACCTGTAGATCACTAACTTCCCGTTCCTTAGAATACACTAAAAAAGAGAACACTTCCACCTTCTCACAACATCTTGCACAACATAAACATATCCTCAACATCCCAGAAGACGTCTCTTTGTTACATAATATCCCTCAAAAAAATTTTCTAAAATTAGATCTATATGAAGACTTGGAAAAAGTCAAAGAAAAGCAAAATAGCCCCAATTGCGTTACTCGCCATGTATCTTTCAACCGTGACTTTCAACCCTTACATCGACAACTCTTCTCATAGTCCACACTTCACAATATTGCCCCACCTTCTCTGCCTGTCTTATTGTGTATATTCTGAATTTATGAGTGTATTTTGCGTTCGTTTTGTCAATGTCAAAGACCTACAATAGACACAATCGCATTAATTATTTGCTACTTTTATTCCAAAGTCGTTTGCTTTCTTTTATATTTTACTGTATTTTTCGGAATTCTTTTTAAATTCTGGTAAGTGCTTCGTTTCTAGTCTTGTGTATATTTTGCGTTCAGGTCCCCGTTTACCTTATTATGCGAACTTTAGAGACTCGAACGTAATGCATCCTATTGTATGAGTTTGTAGGTTCTTCTTTTTCGCAATTTTAATGTTTAATAGACACAATCACATTAATTATTTGCTACTTTTGTTCAAAAGTATTTTGCTTTCTTTTATATTTTACTGTAGCATAGTATTTGTCGGTATTCTTATGCATGTTCTGTAGGTATGAGTGTATTTTGCGTTCAGGTCCACGTTTACCTTATTTTACGAACATTAGAGACTCGTACGTAATGCATCCTATTGTATGATTTTGGAGCCTCAGATATCATTTCAATATCTTATTGTAATAATAGAATCTGCACTGCGGCAAATGAACTTGCATTCACAATTATTTCAGATGTATTTAAGTTTCTGTTATCCAGAAGGAGGCGAAGCCGATTGAAAAGGTACAGCAATTTTGACAAACCGTATAAAATAATAAACTCTAAAATCTGCAACACAGCATTTGGACAATCAGTTTATCTGGAACTAGAGGAAGCTGTGGAATTCCTACAGAAGCGGCTTACCGAGGACTACATCCCCTATATAGATCAGTTGAAGACTGAAAAGTACGCTGTCATCTTCAGAGGGCTGGTGAGCACGGGCAAGCTTAATCCGGCAACGTCATTTAAAATACGTGAAATTTAAGAAAAACTGTAAGTAGATTTTTTATATCCAAAATTTTGAAAAATGAATTCTGAAGAAATCGCTCTTCTTAGTAGTGAGATTATTAAAAAATTTGATAAAACTGAAAAATTACTTTCTTTAAAATCGCGTTGTTCGGATAGAGAAACAAAAAATTGGGTAAAACATGTTAAAAAACATATATGTTTATGCAATTTAGCTATTAAGGATGGCGATTTAAGCATAGGGACGCTACGAAAACTTCAAACCAATGTAGGGATCCTCAAAAGATTTCTAATTATAATTCAAAATTTAAATTCTGTTGAGGGCGGTGGGTTAAATAATAGACGTACAAATAAAGCAAAGGTTGTTTGGAGAAATATAGTATTAATTTTTCAAAGTAGAGTACAAACAGGAATAATTATTAATAAAGAGCATAAAGATATTTTACAGTTTTTTGCTGATGCTTTTAAACTATTTCAAAAAAAAAATGCACACAGCTTAAACAGAATGAGCATGCTAAAAGTAAATACTACATTTTGTGGGGAATTTATCAAAAAAGCTGAAGAGGTGGAAATTTTAGAACCAAAATATTTTCAAGCTAAAAATAAAGTTATTGATGTCACTACCGATTTAAAATATTGGTTTGAAGTTTACGTTAAAAATATTGTTTTGAATGATTTATCTGAATTTGAGGAATCTCAAAGTGGTTGGGCACTGAATAAAATTATATCTTTAGAAATAAACATTAATAAGTTTGAATTGGTTAAAGGAGCCTCATCGTATATTCAATTGCATCCTAAAATTGCCCGAAAACGTGCTTGTATCAATGTTATGAATAACGATCAGGCTTGTTTTGCATGGGCCATTGTATCAGCACTATATTCAGTTAACATAAACACTAACAAAACTAGTTCATATCCCCATTACACCAATGTCCTTAATTTAAAAGGTCTTACATTTCCAGTAACTCTAAATCAAATTCCTCTCTTTGAAAAAAATAATGAAAATATTTCCGTTAATGTTTTCGAGTTAAATGTTAAAGACGAGGATTTCAATTTTTCACAGAACAACGCTGTATTCGAAAAAACCAGAGGAAGCATAGGCTCGTGAGATTAGTAAATAAATGGGAGGGGCGCGTAGCTGCTCGAAATTTAATTGCTACCCCAAAGTTTTCGATTTTCCCATTTTCGATAAATCATTAATGGCGGTAGAATTAAAGAAAACTGAAATTGTTTTTAATAAACCATTGTATGTTGGAATGGCAATCTTAGAAATTTCTAAAATCTGCATATATGAATTTCATTATGACTATATGTTACAAAAATTCCCATTAAATCAAAATAAATTACTTTATATGGATACTGATGGGCTGATTTATGAAACTGAATGTAATGACATATACGAGGAAATGATTAAGACTGACATTCATAGATTTGATACAAGTGATTATCCTCCAAAGAATGTTTGGAATATTCCTTTAGTAAATAAAAAAGTGCCCGGTCTAATGAAGGATGAGAATAACTTAAAAATCATGACTCACTTCGTAGGTCTTCGTTCAAAGCAACATTCATATCAAGTGGCTGGAGAGAAAGATGTTAAAAAGTCAAAAGGGGTTAAGATGAATGTTGTTAAGACGAAAATTAACTTTGATGATTATTTGAATTGTTTGAAAAATTTCCGTGAAACTGTCGAAACAAAATCACTTTTTTATGCAACCCAGCGTTGTATACAATCCAAATTACATGAAGTTTACAGTATTGAGCAAACTAAAATAGCCTTAAACCCTTTTGATGACAAACGGTACTTACTCCCCAACACTTTTGATACTTTACCTTGGGGTCACTATAGTATAGTATAACACATAGTTGAATTCATTTTTCAGATTTGGAGATGGAAAGTCTACAAAATTTATGTATAAGCACTATTATAGAAAACACACACGAAATTGTAAATTTTATTCAAAGATCGCCTTTACCATGGGTGTTAACGGAAAAAATAGTTAAACAATTTAGTAAAATTAAATGAAGGCAAATTAAAACTAATCCCGTTCCTTATGAACATTTTCAAGTTTGCGACTTTGAGAATCATGATCTAGAATTGAATGTTTCACCTGCACTTCGTCAGGCAATTATAAATTGTGAGGATTTTGAATCTTTTGCACAACATGACTACTATTGCTTATGGTTTAGGTATTATAAAATACCAAAATAGCCTTGGAAATAGTGAAAGAAAAGCAAAATAGCCCCAATTGCGTTAATCGCCATGTATCTTTCAACCGTGACTTTCAACCCTTACATCTACAACTCTTCTCATAGTCCACACTTCACAATATTGCCCCACCTTCTCTGCCTGTCTTATTGTGTATATTCTGAATTTATGAGTGTATTTTGCGTTCGTTTTGTCAATGTCAAAGACCTACAATAGACACAATCGCATTAATTATTTGCTACTTTTATTCCAAAGTCGTTTGCTTTCTTTTATATTTTACTGTAGCATAGTATTTGTCGGTATTCTTATGCATGTTCTGTAGGTATGAGTGTATTTTGCGTTCAGGTCCCCGTTTACCTTATTTTAAGAACATTAGAGACTCGTACGTAATGCATCCTATTGTTTGATTTTGGAGCCTCAGATATCATTTCAATATCTTATTGAAATAATAGAATCTGCACTGCTGCAAATGAACTTACATTCACAATTATTTCAGATGGATTTAAACAAACTAAACAAAGTTTCTGTTATCCAGAAGGAGGCGAAGCCGATTAAAAAGCTACAGCAATTACAAGTTGACAAACCGTATAAAATAATAAACTCTAAAATTTGCAACAAAGCATTTGGACAATTAGTTCTTCTAGAACTAGAGGAAGCTGTGGTATTCCTACCGAAGCGGCTTACCGAGGACTACATCCCCTATATAGATCAGTTAAAGACTGAAAAGTACGCTGTCATCTTCAGAGGACTGGTGAGCACGGGCAAGCTTAATCCGGCGGCGTCATTTAAAATACGTGAAATTTAAGAAAAACTGTAAATAGATTTTTTATATCCAAAATTTTGAAAAATGAATTCTGAGGAAATCGCTCTTCTTAGCAGTGAGATTATTAAAAAATTTGATAAAACTGAAAAATTACTTTCTTTAAAAGAGCGTTGTTCGGATAGAGAAACAAAAAATTGGGTAAAACAGGTTAAAAAACATATGTTTATGCAATTTAGCTCTTAAGGATGGCGATTTAAGCATAGGGACGCTACGAAAACTTCAAACCAATGTAGGGATCCTCAAAAGATTTCTAATTATAATTCAAAATTTAAATTCTGTTGCGGGCGGTAATAGACGTACTAATAAAGCAAAGATTGTTTGGAGAAATATTATATAAATAAAACTATTCCAAAAAAAACGCACACAACTTAAACAGAATGAGCATGCTAAAAGTAAATACTACATTTTGTGGGGAATTTATCAAAAAAGCTGAAGAGGTGGAAATTTTAGAACGAAAATATTTTCAAACTAAAAATAAAGTTATTGATGTGACTACCGATTTAAAATATTGGTTTGAAGTTTACGTTAAAAATGTTGTTTTGACTGATTTATCTGAATTCGAGGAATCTCAAAGTGGTTGGGCACAGAATAAAATTATATCTTTAGAAATAAACATTAATAAGTTTGAAATGGCTAAAGTAGCCTCATCGTATATTCAATTGCATCCTAAAGTTGCCCGAAAACGTGCTTGTATCAATGTTAGGAATAACGATCAGGCTTGTTTTGCATGGGCCATTGTATCAGCACTATATTCAGTTAACATAAACACTAACAAAACTAGTTCATACCCCCATTACACCAATGTCCTTAATTTAAAAGGTCTTACATTTCCAGTAACTCTAAATCAAATTCCTCTCATTGAAAAAAATAATGAAAATATTTCCGTTAATGTTTTCGAGTTAAATGTTAAAGACGAGGATTTCAATTTTTCTGTGCTTCCTGTAAGATTAACTAAACAAAAACGAGAAAAACATGTCAATCTTTTAATAGTTCAAAATAAATATTATTTTAATAATAAAGCGGACAGCATCGAACCATGGAGTGATGGACATGATGAAGATATAATACATTTTCACTATATTTGGATAAAAGATTTAGGTAAACTTGTCAATTCACAACTTTCTAAACACAATGGGAAAAGATATATATGTGATAGATGTCTTAATTATTTTTATACAAAAGAAAAGTTGGATGTTCATAGCATCTACTGTGAAAAGATAGATGACTGCAAAATAAGTTTCACCAAGGAACCATATGTTAAATTTAAAAACTTTACCAAGAAAACTTGCCGTTCATAGTATACGCAGATTTTAAATCACTGCTGGTTCCTCTTCGCGTATTGTAGCGTTTACGCTACTGATTAATCAAGTGTCCAATTTAAAATCGTGGTCACTAAACCCCTCAAGAAATTTCTTTTGACCCGCCAGCGTTCGATTTTACATCGACCTTTCTCTACTCACGCGCTGGAGTGGCTTTGAAAGTGGGGACCGATGGATTTTGCAAAGGTGCCGGCAGTTATGGTCAAAACTCAGACGTGATAATACGCCAGTCAATCCAAGTGACGGAATTGGAACAAATAAAAATAATCTAGGAAGAATAAAATAATATTCAATTAAGTAATAATAATATCTCAGTAAATGTATAAAAATAATTAATTTAAAAAAAAGCAAAATGATTTAAGAGTTCCAATTAAAAAAGGAAGATTTTTTTGGCGTGTCACGTTCTCCCGTAAGTATATTATTTCATACTCATTACCTCTTTATCATCCACTAAAATTCATGGCAGTCATTGCAGTGTAGTATTTCCTAGAGATTTATTTTTAAGTTCCGAAATAATTTAAATATAAAATTTCCTTGATTTACTTGCCAAGAACAGAAGGTCATTTTTTTTATATAGTCAAACTTAAATTCTGTTTTAGTCCACGTCGTAATCATTAAGTTTTTTGGTTCAATTTTTATTTAACTTTTTTTGGTGGAATATAATAGGTCCTACAATTATTGGACAGCCTTCTATATTTTTGCGCATGTTCATTTCCTGTCATGCCATGGAAATAACTTCATAAATTTTGACATGATGTTGACCTAACCTAATGTTTAATGTTGTGCTTTGGTAAAGTTGAATCCATGCTGCTACAGCTATTGAATCACATTTATTAAACTAATTAATCCTTTTAGATTCCGTCACTTAAATATTCAATATAAAATATGTATATACACTTCAAAGTATGGTTAGCAGGTTGCTTATGTGAATCCGTGGATTTTGCAGTAACCCCAAAATATGGGACTTGTCACCATGATGAACTAGTTTTGATGTGCCCAGCTGAGTTTGGAGGGACCTATTGTTATTAAAGATAAGTTGTTGTGACCATTTGCTATTGTATATTTAATTCACTGTGAGCTATTCATATGCATATGAGTGGTTAATATCTTTGATAATTTAATTAATATAAAATACTCGGGGAGGAAAAAGGACATTTTTATAGGTTATTAGGTTAACTAAAGAATTTAGTGAGTCTGACCATAACTCATTTTCTTGGATTTCATTTTATAATACAATACATACTTTGATGTAATAATATTAAAATATTTTGGGGAGGGAAATAAATTTTATGTGGACTTTAAAATAAATAGATAAGGAGTATTGAAAACTCACTTTTAAGATAATTGTAACAGAGTTATCACTGTTGATACCTGTACAATACGTTGATTAGTTTATCAGTTTAGTAGAACTATTTAAATTTAGATTACTAACCTTAGTGTTAAGACTTCGGCTACCCTAACGGACTATTCTTGTTAATACTAATATTTACATTTTATTTGGCCAGTGGTAGTGACTATTTGCTTGTGGAGGGGCTATTAGGTCCCATTTTATCTTTATACCCACTACCACTGTATATTTAGCTTTGCATTATATGTAAATTGGTTATACACATATATCTATATACATTCTTTTTATAAATATATTTGTTGTTACTATTTTGAGTTTTATTTCAGTTCTACTAACCAGTATATAACATAGCAAAACAAGATTATTATTTAGTTTTTTTTTGTATTTCAGGTTACTATCTCCAGATTTATTTGTTACTTCAAAATCTCAACTATCGTTGAGTTGGCGCCCTTCTTTTCTCTTCTTAGTGTTCTCTTTCTATAAATTTATTCCCAGTGACCTTCTTTAGTTATATCACGTTTGACATTGTCAGGTCTCATTTCGTTTCTTGTCTCATTAGCTCATTATCCTTGTTATCTGTTGTATCTTTAAAGCCGCAATCCAGTGCATCGAAGCTAGCCCGAACACTCACTTGAGATTTAGTGTCTCTTTGGCCGTTTAACTTTGTTCCTCTGAGCTTAGCCATATTTTTAATATTTTCCTTCCTTCTCTTTCAGTTCTTCTGAACTTTGTAAGTTCAATACCCTTATTTTGTTTCAGTATCCCACTCAACACCATCAACTACGTCAACATATCCATATCAAAGACACACAGCGTACAGTGCCGGATTATATTTTAAGTGTAATTATGATGATAATTTATAATTCTATAAAAGCCATGTGAGTAGTATGTATTAGTATTAGCAAAATGAGGAGGAGGTCAATGAACCGAGGCCGGTCTAGACAACATTTAATAGGGTTACTTAAAATAGGGTGGAGCGAATTAACCAATTAAGATTGTACACAATATCGTGGTCAAAATGACTAATTATAACAATAATTAATTATAAATTACCCTAGAGTAATCTAAAATAGGGTGGGGTGATATAAGATATTACTGCATGCAAAATGAGGGTGGGTAATTTTAAATAGGGTGAAGCGAATTAAGATTGTACACAATATCGTGGTCAAAAATACTTTAGCAATTGCCAATTAAGCACTGGTCAAACTACACAGCCCGCAGAATATTATGATTAGTTTAATTAACTCCATTAAATATAAAAAGCCAGTTGCGCCAAATAAGCAAAAAATAAATTATAATACTTTACATCATTAATTATTGCAGACAATCCCACCCAACAATATTCAAATTAGACTAACCAATTGAGTAAATTGAAAAGGATAATAGTTTAATTAACGACAACGAATTATTTCTGGCACCCTCATTTGACATTATTTAAATTGGGGTAAACGTTTGGGTAACATTAAAAGGCTATTAACTCAAATAACAAAAAAGAAATTATATTAATTTTGAATCATTAAATATATGATATGTATAAGAAGAAATGGTAAAGAATAAAAAAACCAAATATGAATATGGTCAGAACTTGATCCTAGATGGAGGAGAAACGATCAGTAAATATAAGGAATATAAATAGCCGGGTATAAAAAATCATAAATGATGAAACACTGGACGGAGCCAATAAAACAAATATTCAGGGAAGGAAACCTTAAAAGTCTATAAAAACTAAAATGGAGACGTTTTTACTTTTTATTTTACGGGTTGTGACAAATAAAATGTTTAGAGTAGTCTATAAACAATACTGATATTTTGGCGTTTGTTGATTACATTATGTAGTTATCAGTTGGATTTATATTCAGTTATGGACGTAATTTCAATATTTATAAGGATTGTTAAGGCAAAATTGTTAATTTTATAATATCCTTTAAAATTGTTTAACAATTTAACAAACAACGGTAAAAAGCGAATATAGAACACCGTAGTTAAAAGCATAATTACATTACATATGGGTGTGAAGTGTGGCAATTGAAAGAAAAAACAAAACGAATGCTGGAAGCTACTGAAATGGATTACTGATAAAGATCTGTGGGAAGATCAAAACTGGAATGAGTGACAAATGAAAGAATAAGAGAAATAATGCAAGTCACACACACAATAGTTGATGAGATTAAAACCAAACAACTTGTCTGTTCAACGTTCAAAGAATGCGTGAGACCCGAATTCCACAACAAGAAGAAGAAGACTCAGAAAAAGCTGATAGGAAGGAATAGACAAGGATATGGAAGAACACCCTGGAGACGAGTTGTGGAGAGACAGAGAAGCATGGAGAGATGGCATCAAAAGACGTAGAACGTTATAGGTTGATTATATAAAATTGTTTAAAATACAAACAACTTCATTTTATAACATTTTGCTTTTTATACATATACATAACACATGATATTTATTAAATAGAAATGAATTCAGCGTGTTATCTGCTATTCCATCGTTATAAAACCCTTAATTCTAAAACGGAAATATTGTCTGGTTTTTAAACCAAACAGATGGTACATGTAGTATTAAAAAAAATTACATGGGGTGAATATAATTAACATTTTTCGAGCGCAATTGTAGAACCCACATATTTGCGGGTGACGTTCTGGAGTTTTATCTATACAAGATATGTATAATACAGGGTGCCCGTATAAGCGATCCCCTATTCTAATTATGGTAAATATTTTGCAAATTTAGATCCACGATACGTTGCCAACACATATGTGAATTGCTAAATAACAAGTGTTATAGAATATGAGAAAACTCTTAATTATAATTAAAAGGCCATTAAAATTTAATTGAAATCCATATAGGGTAACTAGCACATTAGGGTTGTAACAATATATGGTGTGGTCATATGCTATTAAGTGATTAAATCTCGAGTTTTCGCTAAAAAATGTGCTAAAAGGGAGGAATTTTAATACTTTTAGATTGGTCTGCCCTTTCCACTTTTTCAAAAAGTTATAAAAAGCCGAGTACTGCAGATTAATTTAGTAAAATAATCCTTAGAAACTGTCGGTATTAATATTATAAAAATGAAAGTAAAGTTGCCGGTTCCAGAAAGTTCAAAATCCAGCGCGAAGATTATTTCGCACTTTAAAAAGTCACCAAAAGGAAAGATGTTTGCAGAAGTGTTAAACTCTTCTCTGGAGTTAATTGAGGGGGACATCCGTCATCACCAACCTATGAAATATAAAGAATTCGAAGAGCATGTCACAATATCTTCGACTCCAAACGAGAGCAAATATGAAAACATTTCATCGGAAAGCGAAGATGAAGGTGATACCTGTTTAGAAGAAAAAAAAAATAGAAAATATCATTCAAGAAGGGGACTTTGATGAAAGCATGGAAGAATGTGTATTGCCTGGTCAAAATAATGCAGATAAAATAGACCTTAACACGACGACTAATTTTGATACAATCGACAAAAATGTGCAAAGCCAGGATGAGGAATATAATGTGCTTGTTAAAAACTTTGTTAGTGAAAATAAGCGTTTCTTGGAAAGCCATGAAGTTCACAGACAAGTATTAATTAAAAAAATCAGTGCGTATGAAAGGAAACGCGATAGAGCTTTACAGAGCTTAACTAGTGTCAACAAGAACATTGCAATCTGTAATCAAATTCTAACGTCTATTTACACATGCAAACCAGCGGAATAATATTTTGTATATCACTTTAATATTACATAAACATATTCTAAAAAAATAAAAGTGCCTAAATGTTTAAAAGTGTAAAAATTCCATAAAATCATAATATAATCTGTTTCGGGGTGACAAATTGTGTTCAATGCAAGCAATCTAGTGTGCAAAGCTAGGATGAAGAATATAATGTGCTTATTACAAATATCCAAAATATTACCAAAAAAACGCAAACAGAAAATAAAGAAAAGCTTAATTTCAGTAAAATCTGCACATTTAAATTTACTCACGAGACTCCAAATGTTATGTTTTATAAACATCTTTGGAACGAATTATTTAAATCTGTCAATATTGGCAGGAGATGTGTTAGAACTGCAGTAAACCTGAATGTAAGAGATTTAAAAATTAAATATGACGCACCCATTCCATTAAACCCAAAAAAAATATCTAATATTTCGATGCTTCTTCGCTACATACCACCTATTTACCAGAATTACTACAGAGAGATTGGTGTTGTTGAAAATATGGGAACAGATAATGATAATATAGATAATGAGACAGAACATTTGGATGACTTTAGCGATCTGGAGGATGAAAATTAAATTGATTTTATGTATTGTGTTTTTCATGTTTAGTACTGTATATAACTTCTAATATTATGATAAGATACCTATTTTACAACTTGTTGTATTAATAAATTTTTTTTGTAATAAAGGTGCAAGCCACATTTTTTTGAATTTTTATTGTTTTTTTTTTCTACAATAACTACTTTTTTTAAAATTAGCTTAGCGTTTCAAGGATAGTTGATATACAGGTTTCAAATAATACCATTTACGAAATTTCTAATCCATATTTGGTATTTCAGGATTTGATTAAAACCTTTATATTTGATTTTCTCAAAAACTGACTTTTGTGGCATGTACTGTTGTTGCTCTAAGGTCTTCAAATATCAAAATACGATACCTATTCTTAAATTTCATTTTTAAAAGGATTTACTGTGAAAGAAGCATCAACGAACAAAAAAGGTAATCCTAACACTTTTTTCTTAAATATACATTAATAATTCTTTTATTCGTAGAATATGTTATTCCCAGAACTGCAGAGCCAACTACCAGCAGTAGATACAGGACAAAAATGTTGCAGTCCGCATGTACTGCATTTGCTAAGGCCCAAAAAACAATACTGAAGTTACTAAGTTACTGAACAATCAAAGGGGGAACATATTCTTGAATTGGCTAAAAGCATTGACAAATTAACTTCTGCCTATAAGGAGAGAACAAAAGAACTAGCTGTGGTGGAAAAGGCCAAATTAAAATTTGAATATATAAAACAGTTTGGAAATTTAGATAATTTTGATAAATTATTTTTAATAAAGTTTAATTTATCTAAAATGTCTTTCAATTAGTTGCTCCTGAATTCTCCTGCCATCGTTTAGGTAGTTATGAGGTCCTGTAATAAAACAAAAAAAAAGCTTTTCTTTTAAGTAAGCACATTATTTTGTTTATACCTTGTACAGGGTGATTTAGATTCTCTTCATGTTCCACTTCTATGTCTTCTGGAAAATGTAGGTCTCTATCTGTAAGTTTGTTCCAACACGCCACATTGTACGGTTTCGAAACGGTCACGAAACTGTTTGGCATCGATTTTATGCGCATGCTCCAACTTTGCACCGTTTGATTACCGATGCGAAGAGGAGACGAGTTGGAACGGATTTTGGCACTAACCAAAGCACCGCTTATTCTGTGGCACTGGTGATTGTTTGAGTTGAGTTCTGGCCATGCAGTTAAAACAGAGGACAAGAAAATAAAGAAGAATTGGCTATTTGTTTGCTTGATGCCTCCTCGCTTGCCACCCGTCTTTCTTTCCTTCTGTATTTGAGCAGCTTGTTGGTAACACCTAGACCTAGCTGTCCTCACGTGTTTTGACTTTGTTTTTATTTTGGTTAAATAAAAATATTTACAAAATGGCGAACAATGTACTATTTGGTAAGTATAGTTTGTTAGTTAAAACAATAATATATATTTGTATTATTATTATATTATATATATTTAATATTATATTATTATAATAATTGCAGATTTACAAGAATATGTAACATTTGAAAATGCTGTGCCCGGAACATCTTCGGAATTCCCACATGGTTCTATAGCAACTTCAAACACGAAAGTTGAATATAAATGGAACGAAAATGATTATTATTATTAGATTTGTATTTAAAATTGAAATCTAAAGTAGGGACGTTGGAAATAAAATATGCAAAAATACTGTGGCTGAGAATAGCTGAAGAATTAAATAGTGTTGGCATAACAGCAACTCCCAACAATTGCTTAAATCGGTGGAGGGTGCTGGAAAGAAACTATAACAAATTGGTTGACAATCAAAAAAAAACGGGTAAGTTTTTAATTGAATATGAATATTTTTAATTTTAAAATAAATATAATTTTAGGTAGAGGGCGTAAATATTTTGAGTACGAGAAGGAGATGGATCAGATTTTTGGAAACAAAAAAAACGTTAACCCCGAAATATTGTTAAGTAGTGATACTTACCATATAATAGAGGAAAAGAAACAGGATATAGATGAGGGTGTATGTCAGAATACTGAACATATTGAAGAAATTCCATGTACACAAACACCTAAAACGCCTATCAAAAGGCTTCGAAATAAAAACTCCGAATTACAAAAAATGAGAACAGACAGAGCAAATTATTACCAAGAAAGACTGGTAATCGAGTGGGAAAAGTTAGAACAACTTAAAAGAAGAAATGATGACATTGAGAGGAGAACGAAGATCAAGGAAAAAAAAACAAGCTAATTGAAGCACAAAATAAGCTCCTTGAAGCGCAAAATAAGCTCCTTGAAGAAAAAAATAATATTTTAAAGCAAGCAGCAAAAGTTCCATAAATTCTTATCGTTCTGTTATTCATTTTTGAAATATTTTCACTTTAATCCATTTATTTATATCTTTGTATTTTCTTTCATTATTTTTATATTATTTATTGTTAATATTACACACATAAAATTTACAACAGTGAAAATGGAACTTTGTTGCCTCATTTAAAATATTTTTTTCTTCAATTACTTTTTGCTTTAATTAGAAAGTTTTTTCTTTCAGTAGATCATTTCTTATTTTATTTTGTTGAAATTTTTCTCTTTCTATGATCATTAATTCACTCTGGCAATACTATTTTTTTCGAAGTCTTTTAGCAGGTATGTTTAGTATTAAGGTACATGGAATTTATATACAGTATTGGAAGATTTAAAACAGAACATACGGATTATTAATACAATTAGTAAGATTCCCTGACCTGCAATTACCCAGTGTAAATTTCAATATAACGTCGCGATGTCTTATAATTCATTCATTTGTTCGACTGGACTCCTTCTCCAGTCGATATTTTTCGACTGCTGCGCACGTGCGCACCTTACCAAACACAAAGTAAAGGGTATGTATTTGTTTTGCTCGGCCAGTGATGTTCCTTGGGACTGTTGCCAAATCGGTAGATACCTTCGGCAAAAATCTGTAGATTGTGATGTATCATATACATCCTTTTAAATTTTAAATTATCAACAATATTTGAAATAATAAATATATTAAACTATACACTAACCAATTCAAATAATATCTAATGAACACAAAAAATTGTTATTAATAAAACATTGTTATTATCTGCACAAAAACACAGAAAATCAGTGGACGATAGACAACAGTGTCGACGTACACCTGCCGAATACGGTACTAGAAATCGCGAAGAAGTAGCAATCCAGTCAAACAAATGAATTAATTATAAGACATCGCGACGTTATATTGAAATTTACACTGGGTAATTGCAGGTCAGGGGATCTTACTAATTGTATTAATAATCCGTATGTTCCGTTTTAAATCTTCCAATACTGTATATCTCGACCCATATCTATTGCAAGACAACGTAAAATCAATGATCTCGTTTTAAATATGATAACCATTGATTTACAGCCCTTCTCCCTAGTACACGATGAAGCATTTGTGAAACTTCTTAGAGAATTGGAACCCGAGTACAAACTACCAAGTAGAAACACTGTTGTCAACGTGTTACTGGAGGAACAATACCAATCAATTAAAAGTAAGTTAAAAGAAATTTTGAATTAAAGTGTGTATATATGTTTAACAACAGATGGTTAAACATCTGCGGCAAATGAAGTATATTTTGCTGTAACGCACATAGGAGTATTTCACGTCAAAAACCGGACAAAATTGAAAATAGTGATATTAATCCAAACGCACCTAATTAAACGTTTCGTTACCTATAATAACCGGTTTATCGAAAGGCAGACGAGCTAAATGCAACTCTCGCGCATATTGCCACATCGTCAGTCAGAACCCAGATATTGTGCTGTACGCGTGTTTTTGATTTAAGCGATCTCGTTTGTATTTATCAGTTTTCTGTGTTAATATGGGTTCGTGTTGCAAACAAGATGAAAATAACTATTCGGACATGGATAGAGAAGGTTAGTATTATATACTTAAGTATATTTCATTATTTTACTTCTTAATTCTCTACTTGTATAGCCACCAATAAACAACAGGTGTTTTTTGACTCGTTTTTTAGAGAAATTTAAAATACATTAGTATTTTTCTTTATGTGTCGTGCTTTGCCGACTTAAATTTTTTTTATCTATAAGGTAGGTGTAGGTAATATGGCCATGTACAGTAATATGGCCTTCTTACTATTTTTATGTTTAAACGGTAGAACTCTTGATATTAGCATAGTAATACACATTTAGTGTCGAAATTGTTAAACAGATGGTGCCACATTCTCTATACGTCAGAACCATACACCATTGTTGTGAAAACTCGTCATTGCAGAAGCTGGTTATTAATTTCGTAATTTTTAAAAAAACTTAACTGAATCTAATAGGTAAGTTTTTAATATATTAATTGTACTTACATGTTTCGTATACCTTCAAAATCATGTACATGTTCTTATTTTATTGTATAAATTTTGATTTAATAAATTTTTTCTTAGGCAAAATATCAAAATACAGTGTTGAGTAATATGGGCAGGTGAAAAGTAGGGTTATATGCCCATGGCCATATTTATCTTACGTGCCCATATTACTCTACAATGCATATTCTGTTTGCTGTATTGATATTATTTCTTTTATTACATAAATAAAAAATGCCCCAGTATCAGCGCAGGAGCCTACGAGGCAACTGGACGGAAGAAAATTTGTCAGCAGCTTTAAAAGCGGTGGAAAATCGGACCGCAGTTAACACAGCTAGTCGTACATATCACATCCCAAGGCGGACACTTCGACGATATTTAGAAGAGGGGAAACAAGTAAAGTCTTGTCTAGGGCGAAAGACTATACTTACAAATGCCCAAGAAGCAGAATTAGTTTAACGTATTATCAGTCTTTCGCAAATTGGATATCCACTTATTGCAAGGGTACTTTGTAAGTGTGTATATCGATTTACAGAACTCAATAATATCCCAAATCCTTTTCAAGAAAGCAAAGGAATAGCTGGTCGTTATTGACATGTGGTGTTATGAAGCGCAATCCTCAAATCAGACCTAGGAAAACACAAAACTTAAATCCGGCTAGGGCACAAAAGCTTAATAAATTTATTGTAAAAGATCATTTTACTAAGCTGGAAGGGATTTTAAGAGAAATGGACATACTTGATAAGCCCGAACGGATATATAATGTAGACGAGAAAGGTTGCAGGTTAACACTTCACCACCAGCAGAAAGTTTTGGCGCAAAAATGGGCTAGAAGAGTACATGTTGTTGCAAACGAACATGGAGAAAGTGTTACCATTGCTTCTTGTGGTAATGCTCTCGGTACAGCAATCCCTCCAATGGTACTTTTTAAGGATAAACGTAGTAAGCCAGAATAGGTTGACTCACTACCTCCAGGTGCTATTGTTCAAATGACTGCAAAAGGTAGCATGAATATTGAAACGTTTTCAGTTTGGCTTCAACACTTTTCAAAATTTAAGGTTGCTGGTCCATGTATTATCATATTTGATGGTGCAAGATGCCATTTGGATCACACTATTGTAGAAACTGCCGAAAGATACGAAATTATTCTATACTGTTTACCTAGTAATACTACTCACGAGCTCCAACCAATGACAAAGCTGTATTTAGAGCCTTTGAATATTACTGGGATGATGAATTCATGAAATATTCTATTCATAGCGATCGTGTTATTACCAAACAGAGATTTGGGGCAATTTGTTTTACAATTTGGGACAAAACAATGACACCATCTAATATAAAATCGGGGTTTTCTTCAACGGGAATTTATCCATTCAACCCAGAAGCTATCCCAGAGATAGCGTTTGCCCCTAGTACTATCACATACCAACATCAGGAAGATAAAGAGAATGTCACATTATCAGAAACTAACGCTTGTAATAAAGCAGATGATTTATCCATGCCATCAACTTCAGGCATTCAACAAAAATATTACCGTTGTCATTCTACTTTGGGATTACAACCGAAAAATAGCTCAAAAGAAGTATGTCTGGTCTTGTCGTCCCCTACTTCGGATTTTCAACCGAAGAATCGCCCGGAAAAACCATTTCTAGACACTGATAGTAGCAACTCTGACTTATCCTTTAGTTTGCATGATTCTAGCAGTGATGAAGTTATTGATTCAGAAGACGATCACAGTGATTTCTCAAACATCCAAAATACTTCATTCACAATTATGCTCGAAACACCTGAAAATGCAGCAATAAAGAACGATAACAAAAAGCCTAGAAAACCAGCTATCAACAGTCGAGTCCAAGTTGTTACTAAAGAATTATTCGGTAGATGTATTCGGTAGATCTGTAGAAGCCAATACGCATACTACAGATGGTAAAAGAGTCTCGTCATTGCTACGAAAATTACCCAATCCTAAAAACAAATTTAAGACCTTGCCTGCTAAGAAAAAGGGAACAAAAACACAAGAATCTTGGTTCTGCAAATTATGCAAGGAAGACAGGATGGTAGATATGAGACTGTGTAGCGTATGTAGCACTTATATCCACGAAGAGTGCATGGGTCTCACAGCTAAAGACAAAATTGATACGTTATTATATATATACGTATTTGCTTAACATGTAATAAAACTGTTAAAAAATCTGAAAGTATTTTATTCTATTTTGTGTTAAGCTTCATAAATAGATATAAAAATTTACTTTCTGTAGAGTGGCCATATTAGCGACACCATGTTGGTAATATGGCCAATAGCAGTATTTTTTTAATTAAGTCATAAATATCATATTTTTATCAATTTTTGAAAAATTATACAATAAATATATACTTAGATAACCCATGTAACTGTAATAACAGTTACCTTTTAAAAAAATTATATTTGGCCACAAATACGGACAAAAGTTCTTAAGGTGGCCATATTACCTGCATATACCTTAGATAAAATGTAGACTCTAGGGTAGTCGACACATGAATAAAAAGTCCCCCCAACGTACCCCATATTTTTTTATAGTACTTCGAACTATATGGGAAAGGTTATAATTATACCGATAAAGCTTATGTTTTTGTTTTCTTTTATCGTAGATTCTTTGGAAAGAGTGAAAAAAATCACCAAAATGGAGCTTTATACTATTGTTAAGGATTTTAAAGGAAATAAAATTGAAGAAAAATTTTCGTTGTTAGAAGAAAGACTTGCGCAACTAACTTCATGCTCATCCGAAAGAAATGTTTTTACCCGTTCTTTGAAATATTTCAAGACCAGTTTCAAAAAAAGATGGTCGTTAGCCCGTAATACTGATAGAAGATTATTAGAAAACAATATGGAATGGCTTAATGTATCACTGGAACTACCTACTTGGACCCACAAAGCAGGTCGACTAACAAAAGAATTCGGAGAATTGTGTGAGCAGAGTAAGCGTCGAAGGACAAAAGATTTACGGACCGGGTACCTGTTGATGAATTGACTTACGCTGCAAGCGTGAGTTACGGTACTGCGGGAAATGTTGATGTCTCTAAGGTTGTGAAAGAAATAAGGTCAACGCCTACCAGAGCTAAAAAGTTCCGAAAAGCAATATCGTCAGCTAAAAAAGAACCAATCACAGGAAAATACACACCACAAGGAGCTTTAGCGTTATTTATGGAAGGTAATTTTACAAGAAGGCAGTGGGAATTAATACAAGGTGGCCAAAAAGAAATTTATCCTTGGTATTCGATTTTACAAAAAGCGAAGGAGGAGTGTTATCCTGCCGACGATAGCATACAAGTTACTGAAACTAGCTTTGCAGTGGAATTTCAAGCTTTGCTGAACCATACGGCTTTGCGACTACTTCAATATTTAACAGAAGTAGTTGACACGTTATCAGAGTTTGAGAAGCAACATCTTACCTTAATATTAACATGGGTTTGTGATGGATCTAATCAGACAAAATTTAAGCAAAAATTTGGCAACACTGACGACGATGATGCCAATATATTTTTAAGTTCTCTTGTGCCTGTGAGAATCGTTGTTTCTGTGAATCGAGAGACAAGAAAAATTATATCGCAAAATCCAGTGCCTTCTTCGGTGAGATTCTGTCGTTCTAGCCGGGCTCGATTCATTCACGAAACAAAGGATGTCACCAAGGAAGAAATTACTTGATTTTGTCAAGATTGAACAAGAAGCAAGGAATCTCAAAGAAACAACTGGCATGGAAGGTTCCGTTAAACTAAATCACACTATTTTGTTCACAATGGTCGACAGAAAAGTGTGCAATGCGGCTACTGACACAGATTCAACAATGAGATGCTATATATGTGGACAGACATCTAAGGACTTCAACAAACTTGAAAGAAGCAATGTTTGTGAAGAGTCTCTGAGATTCGGACTCTCCATTCTTCACTCAATAATTCGCTTCTTCGAGCTATTATTGCACTTAACGTACAAAGCGCCCTTACAGAAGTGGCAAGCGTAAACGGCAGAAGAGAAACATGTTTTGAAAGAAACAAAACAAAAAATACAAAAAAGCTTCAAAGAAGAGATGGGCCTTCTTGTTGATATTCCCAAAGTCGGTTACGGCAATAGTAACGACGGAAATACGTCGAAAAGATTTTTTGACGATCCTGAATGCTCATCTCGGATTACTGGAATCAATATGGATTTGATAAAAAGGTTCCAAATCATTCTTGAAGTGATATCAAGCGGATATGATATTAATCCTTTGAAAATTCGATTACTTTGCTCACACAACCGCCAAATTGTATGTGGAACTATATGGTTGGCATCCCATGTCACCTACAGTTCACAAGATTCTGATGCATGGAGCTCAAGTCATATCAAGTCACATTGTACCTATCGGGCAGCTATCAGAAGAGGCTGCTGAAGCCTCAAACAAACATTTCCGCAAATATCGCGTAGACTTTGCCAAAAAATTTTCAAGAGTGTACTGCAACAGAGATGTTTTAAATAGATTGTTGCTGACATCTGATCCCTTCATCTGCTGCAGCAGAATAAAACGGAAGAAGAAAAGCAAGTCCTTTTCTCAGGAAGCTATTAGTATGCTTCTCACGAAAATAGTGAATTGTGACAGTTCCAACGACGAAGTTGATGAGGACGAGATCCCGTGTGAACTCAGTGACTATAATTCTAATTGATTCGGCCTCCTTATGATTATCCTCTTGAACACAAATACTGTTTAAAGAGTAAAGACTCTCTTAGATTTTTTTATTATTGTTTTTCTTTTTAAATAAATGCCTAATTATTATCTATTACTTATTAATATTATTATTATTTATTATTCTTTTTCGGGAAAAAACCTATAAATTTTTTTGGGGATGGCTGGAGGCCTAAAGGTTCGCCACCTTCAAAAGTCTCAAAGACTGTTTTTAGGGGGTTTTTGCGAGGTTTGAACGTGTTTCTCCCATGTTTAAATGTTCTAAGTCTAAGGGACTCATTTATATCAATTTTCATATAACTTGTAAAAAACATTGATTTGATCTATTTTGAAGTCTATAAAATAGGGGAAATCTCCAAAACCAAACCCTCTAAAAACAGTTTTTCGGATTTTTGAAGGTAGCGAACGTTACGAAGAAATCTGATAAAAATTGGAGATATAGTGTTTGATAAGATACAGTGATATAAGGTAAAATAAGTAAGTCGAAAAAAGAATTAGACCTGCAGTCATCCCAAAAAAAGCTAAAAGTCTTAACTATGCGTGTGAATTTTTTAAAATTATAAAATTGATTTCATTCCATCTAAAAAAAAAAACGAAAAATTAAGTTTTGTGACATAGGGACAGGGGAAATTTAGTGGTGGGTTAAAATTACGATGATTCTTATTATTTAATCACATTGAACTTAAAAAAATTGAATTCTGGGAGTGCGAGAGGGTAGCTTTTAATTTATTTATCCCGTCCATATGTGAAAAGGTTGATACGCCACTGTCGACACATGTGCTACTAAAAAGTGACTGCACACTGTTCATACGTTTTCTTTTAAGTTCTACTATTTAAGTTAGAGGATATTATCGTGCCTAAAATAATTAGCCAATTTCACCTATACCGGCTCTTAGTCTATACTCTGCCAATGGCTATTAGTTGGCGAGAAACAAAAATAAGTAAATAAATAAAAAGAAAAACTAACGTTTTTCTTTTTAAATAAATGCCTACTAATGATCAATTATTGCCTTTTATTACATAAAAATAGTGAAATAATTGTGTCCGGTTTTTGATGAGAAATACTCCTATGTGTAACGGCTCATTTTATAGATAAGAGATGGGAATATGTCTCCTGTCTATTCAGTTGCTTTTTGCGTAGTTGCGACACTTAAACATCCGTGAATTTATCTGATGAATTAATTAGAGTTGTTGCTGAATGGGATATTGTGGATAAAGTGGAAGTTGTTGTGACTGATAATGCACCAAATATTGTCGGTGCCGTAAGATTCTTCTTCTTCTTCAGATGCAAATCCACTAATGAATGTTAGCGATCACATTTTCCATTAATTCTCTATTTCTTGCAATATGTATCAGAGGTTGTATGTCGTTAATCCCTGTCCATTGCCTTATGTTTCGGAGCCAGGACATTTTCTTGCGTCCCATTCCTCTCTTGCCTTCAATTTTACCCTCGATTATAAGTTGGAGGAACTGGTATTTTTCATTTCGCATGATGTGACCTAGATACGCCGTTTTCCTTTTCTTGATGGTTTCGAAAAGTTGGCGTTCTTGGTTTATTCTTTTAAGGACATCTATATTTGTGATTTTCGCTGTCCATGGTATTTTTAGGATACGGCGATAAAGCCACATTTCGAAAGCTTCTAATCTGTTTATATCCCTCGTTTTGAGTGACCAGCCCTCTACGCCATATAGCAGCACTGACCATACGTAGCACTTAGTAAACCTTAGTCTCAGTTGAAGATCGAACTCTGAACAAAATCATTAAAAAGCTACAGCAATTACAAGTTGACAAACCGTATAAAATAATAAACTCTAAAATCTGCAACACAGCATTTGGACAATAAGTTCTTCTGGAACTAGAGGAAGCTGTGGAATTCCTACCGAAGCGGCTTACCGAGGACTACATCCCCTATATAGATCAGTTGAAGACTGAAAAGTACGCTGTCATCTTCAGAAGACTGGTGAGCACGGGCAAGCTTAATTCGGCGGCGTCATTTAAAATACGTGAAATTTAAGAAAAACTGTAAGTAGATTTTTTAAATCCAAAATTTTGAAAAATGAATTCTGAGGAAATCGCTCTTCTTAGTAGTGAGATTATTAAAAAATTTGATAAAACTGAAAAATTACTTTCTTTAAAAACGCGTTGTTCGGATAGAGAAACAAAAAATTGGGTAAAACATGTTAAAAAACATATATGTTTATGCAATTTAGCTATTAAGGATGGCGATTTAAGCATAGGACGCTACGAAAACTTCAAACCAATGTAGGGATCCTCAAAAGATTTCTAATTATAATTCAAAATTTAAATTCTGTTGGGGGCGGTGGGTTAAATAATAGACGTACAAATAAAGCAAAGGTTGTTTGGAGAAATATAGTATTAATTTTTCAAAGTAGAGTACAAACTGGAATAATTATTAATAAAGAGCATAAAGATATTTTACAGTTTTTTGCTGATGCTTTTAAACTATTTCAAAAAAAAAATGCACACAGCTTAAACAGAATGAGCATGCTAAAAGTAAATACTACATTTTGTGGGGAATTTATCAAAAAAGCTGAAGAGGTGGAAATTTTAGAACGAAAATATTTTCAAGCTAAAAATAAAGTTATTGATGTCACTACCGATTTAAAATATTGGTTTGAAGTTTACGTTAAAAATGTTGTTTTGAATGATTTATCTGAATTTGAGGAATCTCAAAGTGGTTGGGCACTGAATAAAATTATATCTTTAGAAATAAACATTAATAAGTTTGAATTGGCTAAAGGAGCCTCATCGTATATTCAATTGCATCCTAAAATTGCCCGAAAACGTGCTTGTATCAATGTTATGAACAACGATCAGGCTTGTTTTGCATGGGCCATTGTATCAGCACTATATTCAGTTAACATAAACACTAACAAAACTAGTTCATACCCCCATTACACCAATGTCCTTAATTTAAAAGGTCTTACATTTCCAGTAACTCTAAATCAAATTCCTCTCTTTGAAAAAAATAATGAAAATATTTCCGTTAATGTTTTCGAGTTAAATGTTAAAGACGAGGATTTCAATTTTTCACAGAACAACGCTGTATTCGAAAAAACCAGAGGAAGCATAGGCTCGTGAGATTAGTAAATAAATGGGAGGGGCGCGTAGGTGCTCGAAATTTAATTGCTAGCCCAAAGTTTCATAGTCGCGTCATTTTCGATAAATCATTAATGGCGGTAGAATTAAAGAAAACTGAAATTGTTTTTAATAAACCATTGTATGTTGGAATGGCAATCTTAGAACTTTCTAAAATCTGCATATATGAATTTCATTATGACTATATGTTACAAAAATTCCCATTAAATCAAAATAAATTACTTTATATGGATACTGATGGGCTGATTTATGAAACTGAATGTAATGACATATACGAGGAAATGATTAATACTGACATTCATAGATTTGATACAAGCGATTATCCTCCAAAGAATGTTTGGAATATTCTTTTAGTAAATAAAAAAGTGCCCGGTCTAATGAAGGATGAGAATAACTTAAAAATCATGACTCACTTCGTAGGTCTTCGTTCAAAGCAACATACATATAAAGTGGCTGGAGAGAAAGATGTTAAAAAGTCAAAAGGGGTTAAGATGAATGTTGTTAAGACGAAAATAAACTTTGATGATTATTTAAATTGTTTTAAAAATTTCCGTGAAACTGTCGAAACAAAATCACTTTTTTATGCAACACAGCGTTGTATACAATCCAAATTACATGAAGTTTACAGTATTGAGCAAACTAAAATAGCCTTAAACCCTTTTGATGACAAACGGTACTTACTCCCCAACACTTTTGATACTTTACCTTGGGGTCACTATAGTATAGTATAACACATTTGGAGATGGAAAGTCTACAAAATTTATGTATAAGCACTATTATAGAAAACACACACGAAATTGTAAATTTTATTCAAAGATCGCCTTTACCATGGGTGTTAACGGAAAAAATAGTTAAAAAATTTAGTAA